ACGTTGACCTAAAGGCCTTAAGCACCAGTAGGCTGCTGGATGGCGTTTGCAACAGCTCAGGTTGCCGACAGACTAGTGGTCAGCAAGTCGGGCACCTCCGGGAAGTTTAGGGCTTAAGGCTTTAGGTTCAGGATCTAGAGTTTAGGGTTTAGGGGTTTCGGGGAGTCGGGTTTAGAGTTTAAGGCTTTAGGTTCACGATCTAACTTTACAGTTTCAGGGTTTGGCGCGTGGGATGTGAGGTTGATGCCTTGGGTCCCGGGTTTAGGTTCGCGGGCTCCCGAGTTTTGTTCGAAGCACCGGACTGACTTTCAGGATCCAAGATCGTGTGATGTTCTAACTCTTCGGGACATGAAGCTTGACATCGTGAACCGAGGCTATTGGGTAGTTTCCCTAAATCTGGGGATCCCACTATGCATCATACCACCACAATCAGAGGTTGCCCGCCCGCGCTCTACCTTTTAGCTGCCAGATATGGCTGACTTTTGGAAAGCATCTCATGTCAAGTGCTAACCGCTTTGCGGAGGACATCTTGCACCGGCCACGAGCTCGGCTCTTCAGCTCTCCAACTGTAAAGGCACTTAATAACTTTAATCATCTCAAGCCTGGACCCTAGAAGCCCTTATCCCGAACCCCTACACCCCTAAACCCCAAACCCCTAAGCCCTGAAACCTAAGCTCCGAAGTCCTAAACCCTAAATCCCTAAACCCTAAATCCCTAAACCCTAAATTCCCAAAGGTGGGCTTCATCCTAAAGCCTTCCCGGCCTCAAAAGTGATCATCACAACTCCGCAGCCTAGCAGCCTAGGCTCTTCCACAGCAGGGGCTATAAGGATGTAAGGTCTAGGATTCAGGGGTTCAGGATTTGGGGGTTTGCGGGTTTAGGGTTTGGGAGTTAGGGGTTTAGGGTTTGGGATTTAGGTTTTAGAGGTTTAGGGAGTTTGGGAATAACTACATGGGGCCTAAATAGTTAGAATCACGAAGAATCACATGGAAATGAAAATCCAACATGAACATGAAGCTACCACATACGGGGTGTCTTACACCTATAAATTGGAAAGTCTGGAGATGTGCACGAAACTTACAGGACAAGTTCTTGTAAGTGCGCCAAATGGGCAAGATCAAATGTGGCGATTAATCATTCTTCTATATTAGGCTGCAGAAGCCTTTGAACTAGGAGTCTGGACCTGTAAGATGAGGGTGTGGGTGTTTAGGACTCCAGGGGCTTTCCAGGACCACGGCTTGCGACTCGATCTTTGGATACTTGAAAAAATGGGTGAAGGGTCTGGGTCAGAATTTTGGGACAGACCCTATAGACCCTAAGTCCTAACCCTAACTCCTAAACCCTAAGCCTTAAACCCTAGAGCCTAAAACTCCTGTCTGGCCGCTACACTTCAACTTGACGGTGCCTTGCTTGCGGGGTATGAGACCGCCTACGGCTCCTTGTCGGATCAGTCTCCAATGATACTGTTAACACACTTGAGGTGCCAAAGTCCCGTGGAACTAGCCCAACTTGTAAATTTGCATATTCAGTTAGAGAAGCCAATCCCCAGCCTGAACATATGTGCGCTCTTACTCCTCAAACTTTGAAGCCTGCCTGTTCAATCTGCACAACTACTTGTGGACCCACGTAGGCCACAAACCAGCGCAAGTCTACCTGACAGATGCTGCGCATCCCCAAAGCTCAACATGGCGCCGAATGCAACCCCAAATCTGCTCCTGAAAATTGCATGCTGAACATCATAGGCCCCTGCGTTGCCCTACCACACAACAAGAGGCACCGCCCAAACTCAATGGATCCTGCAGGCCTCCCTATGCTCTGAACCCTGACTTTGATGCCCTCAAGCTATGATCCCCGAATAATCAACCTTAGGCCACCCCAACTGTTCGTACTTCGTAGCCAGCCTGCGAAAACACATATTTGGGTTTCCATAAATGAAGGATCCCTGTCTGGGGGCATCCTACTTTTTGGGGGAGGGTCAGATTGAAGTCCCGTATGTATGAAAACGATCCTACTATCTACAGGGACACCCTGGACCCCAAACCCTAAACCTAAATCCTAAACCCTACACCCCCATCCTCTGGGATGCGGCTGATCCGAGGGAAGCTTGACGCTCTTTCTGGGATCCTTCAGGACGCGTCTGGGCTGTTGAGATTTATATAGAGGCTATATAGGGGTTATACAGGGATAATGGAAAAGAAAATGAAAACTATAAGGATTATAGGGAATATATTGAGTTATATTGGGACTATATTGGGGTTATATAGGGATAACGGAAAACAAAATGGCAATTGCTATTTACGGTTTAGGGTTTAGGTGTTGTATAGAGATACACAGATACATCTATAATATGTACAGGGTTCAGGATAAACAGTAGTGCCTCGAGGGGTGAGAGACGTAGCCTTGCAATTCTAGCGTTAACAACTTTATGTAAGAGCCCATTTGGGGTAGATTCGCAAAGAACCTGCACAGCTGCTTGAGACTAGGCCGCTTGAACAAAATCAGCAAGTTAGACCTCGCTGCAAAGCTCGAGCCGCATCTGTGGTCGGCTCAGTGTACATGTAAAACTGGCTGACATCTAGCTACGACTTGAAGTACGGGCACCCTGTTGGATAGCTCCTATTCCTCTGCTTATAGAATCCGTCCGTAGGTTTACAGTGATGCGCAAGTGGCTGCCCAGAAGCCTTCAGCGGCAAGCACAACAATTGTCAGGTCTGCAGAGAAGGCGTGTACAAATTCTGGAAACTTGGGCACCCCATAGGAGAATCGTCCTTGGCATGGGGATGCTTCAAAGGGGGCCCCTGACTCTCGAGAAGCCCCTGCTCTCCCCTTGGGTCCAGCAGGTACGTCATCAAGCCTTTCCCAGGAGACTTCGAGGGCCTTGGCTGCAGCTTTCGAAACAAAGGGATATGCGGGTTTCTGAAAAATAGGGTACCCTTCAAAGCAGAAGGGATGTTGTACATGAGATTTTGGGTGTCCCTCTTTAACCATTACTGAGCAGAATTCTGACCTCTTCCACCGACCTCCCACTAAAGGTCCTGGGTACTGGCCAGTTTGCCTCTCTTCAAAGTTTGAAGGCAGGAATCGGAAATGTCCCGGAGATCTGGGTGCAGATAGTGATGGCTTCACAGTGGGCTGGAAGCTTGTCGGTCCATAGGTCCAAAACAACTCTTCAATCGAAGCCCTGTCATCCTACGCGAATGCAAGATTGTTTATTTGGAGATATGATCCCAGTCTGTATAACCTTAGATCCTGCTTCCTTTCAAACCCCCTTTATAACATTCCCATATTCCCTACTAAGAACCAGTAAGGTAGCTACGTAGGGCAATTTATAGTGGCTCTCATTCTGAGCTGCAGCATCTCAGCGCTCAGCGCGAAGATCCTGACCTCCTCCAAGACTCACCCGCACGTGGGTGTGTAGGCTTTAGGGCCTTTAGGGTTTAGGCTTACCATAACATGGGTATATAATGAATAGAAGGTTTCCTGATTACGGTAACTTACTTTCAACAGCAACCCAGGAAATGCATTACAACGTCCCGATGTCCAGGCAAAGCCTGACAAAGCTGAACAAGAGACACCAACACCCCTTACCTCAAAAGCCCCAACTTACTGGTGGTTAGTAGGGAACAGGGCAAGGGAGTATGATCCCTATATAACGGTATATAATCCCATATACAATCCCTATATAATATATTCCCTGATTCCATACTATAACCCCAATATATATATATATATCCTATTATAATGTAGTTCCATGTTCTTTCCCATTTTCCCTGCTAACCCCCAGTAAGTCAGTAAGCCAAACCGCGACAAAAGCTTCAGCAAACCCATGGGCCCGGACAGCAAGATCTTGGCCAAGCTCCGAAGAAGGAAGGCTGAGAGGGCCTCCTGTGTGGAGACCTGCTGAATTAGGGCTTTTCTAAATTTTGATTCATGCTGTTTGTGCTGCGCGTGCGCGGGTTTGGGTTCAGCTTAGGCAGGCCGACGATCTCTTTAAGTGATGCCTCAAGAGAACCCCACCAAGCGGTCAAGTCTTGCTACCTGTACATGAGAGGAAGCGGTTGTCAATGTAAAGAAGGGTTCAGCACGACATCGATGGCAGAAGTGTTTGGTAATGGTGGAGGCGGATAGAACGTGTTGGGCACCTAGAATGTTGTAACGCTTTCGGATTTGGGTGTTGCGGACTTCGCAATGAAATTCCTTTATCAGCAAGTTGCTTGCTGGTGTTTCATTCAGAAGAGGACTCCTAGCTGAACCACCACCCCGAAGCCTGACATTGCACTTTCACATCTGAAGCCTTGATTCAAGGGAACCCTTGCTTTCCGCTATCTGGAATCTCCCCTTCCACTCTTCTCGCAACAAATCTCTCTCCAACTCCCAGCACTCTTCTGAACGCCTAAAGCTAAGGGCAACGCCCAACCGTCACCGCTACCATTGGTCGGCGTGGCAGCTGCTTTTATGTCGGCAACCTCTGGCATTTGCTTTGAGAAGGATCTTTGGGAACTCCTGGCCGTTCTTGCAGATGTTCATTTTTTCGCTTGAGGAGCTAATGCATGGGCAAGGGAGGGTTTTCAGGGTCAGTCAACCCTCACCGCAGACGATTGCCACTTGAGTGTCACGTTTGTAGCCTCTTTCTCAATGAGATCTCCCGCTATGCCACTGACTGGAAGGTAATATTGACCAAGGAGCAATGGGTCAGGCTTCTCAAAGGTTGCCGCCGGGCTCTGTGTGGGCCCACGCTAGACGTGTCTTTCGATGTTGCTTCTGGTAAACGCCCGCTCTCCCCCAGCTACGGCAACCTGTTCGATCACCATGATATTCCTTGCATTGTTGACACTGGCTGTCGGAAATGTCAACTACGGCACTGCTCAATGAGAGAGCTGGTAAAGTCAACCGTCTACCCGCATGAGCTATAGTCTAACCTCCTTATATCTGCCTTGATAAGCCCTATAACAGTCTCCGCTATATAGCCTCCTTTAAGCTCACATTGACATTAAGCGCACCTCTTGGTCAGAGAGGAATACCCGCTGCCTCTGAGCGCCTTAGCCAATCCGGTCTCAACAATTCGATGAAGGCATGACTCAGGCGTGACCCATGTGGTAGTTTCCCAAAATAGGGGGTAACATAAACCCTAAAATACTCCGCAAAAGGCCCCCCTAATTTTGGGAAACCCACCCATGTTGCATGCAATGTTGTGGGACACCTTTAGCCTTGCTGAGGTCTCAATCAGCCCAGCACTCTGCTGTCTCTTGTGGGTTTAGAGTTTAGGGTTTAGAGTTACCGGTTTAGGGCTTAGGGTTTAAGGGTTTAGAGTTAGGCTCTACTTACGAAGAGTTCAAGGCCTGATGGCACCTGAGCTCAAGTTATTCTGACCTCACCCCCCTGTCTGCATGGTTTTGCAACGACTCAAGAAAAGGGCGTGGAATTTTGCTAGTTCTACTGCTTGTCAACTACTACCTACCATGTCATGCGCAGCTTTGTAGAATTTTTTGCGGGATCCCTGGTCAGCCCATGCTGAAATTTGCTACGGACGGTGTGCTGCATCGAATCATGGCCGCTGATGTGCACCTGTTGAAGTGTGCCTTGCTTGTCACTCTCGCATGGGTCGAGAAGCAAAACGTGGTCAATGAAAAATGGCAAGCGTTTCACGCAGTGGATCTTAAGAACTCTGGAACAAGCTTCGGCTGCATGCGCAAAAGCCTGAATTTGTGCCTGCTGACATGCGCTGCAACGCTTCTGAACACTCCAAGAGAGGGCGTGCACGAAAGCACAGACATTATGCGTTAGCATTGTTTTCTCAAACTGCAGCTACCTCGGGACGTCCAGAGTTGTGCTGATGATGCCTGCGCCCTGGGCCGTCTCGCTGTCAGGCCATATCAGGACTCCCTTTGATGCAACTGCATGCAATAAAACACAGCTCATTCTTCCAAACTACCTCGTTCCAATTTCTGAGCAACCGCAACACAGGGCTCTAACTCTGCAGACAGCGAGAGTTGGATATTGAGGCCGCATCCGACGCCCGCGTGCAGAAAGAGAGTGTCTGCGATGGGCGTCAGGGTGTCCATGACGACCATCATGACCTGTGGAGGCAAGGGGGGGCATGTAAGCATTTCTCGTACTTGGCTTACTCCGCATCTTTTAAGTACCAAAATGGTAACTACGAGTGATGAACCAACGTAAAACAACCGCATGGAAAAGCTTGCCGCACGCTCTCTTATTCATCAATCCTGGAAGCCACTTCACTTTCTGGCTTGGCACATCATTACGACTCCTGCTGCAGTAGATCAATCTTTCAAATGCAAGGGTTCGGGGTAGGGGTAGGGGTTTGGAAGGTAGGGATTTTCAGCTATAGTGACAGTCTTCCAAACACTTGTGGGCGTGCTACTGAGGAGAAAGACAAAGAGTGCAATCATCATCTCAGCTGTGGCTACCCTTGTTCCCATTACAAGATTGCCGCTGTCAATAGCAGCATGTTAGGTACTACTTGCAAGGTGTCTTACGTCTTACGCTTTGAAATAAAACGACTCACGCGCTTGGAGTTTGCCTAGCCTGCGAAAAAGCTTGATAGTATAGGTGCTGGTTTTCATCGACGACAAGATCTAATCTAACTACGTCTCCTACTCAGGTATTTTGCTTCTTCTAGTACACGACATACACATTGACAGCCCAAACAATTCATGTCAGCTATAGTCCAAACTCCTAGTATCCCCTTAATAACCCCAATAATACTCTGCTTTCTAATCCCCTAACTAACCCCCTTTAGGAAGTTGAGACTATAGCTCATACAGCATCGCGCTCCTACGGCCTGGCCACACGGGCCGCACCTAGGAAAAGCCTTCACAAGACATCATGTCACACTGACCGTCTCTTTGACCTGGTTGAAGACGTTCTCCGATCATCCATTCGAATCTTCTACTAACCAAGACTGCGGTAGGGGCAGAATATAGGGGGTTAAATAAGGATTATAAATAGGGGTTATATAGTGTTATATAGGGGTAATATAGGGCTATATGGGGATTATACATACATGCTGAACTGCTAGACATCTCGCCGGCTGCGCTTGTCCTCCTGAAGTCTGAACTCCAAACCATCCAACACTGAGGGGACCCCAATACAGACCCCAAAATACTATAGTCCTTATTATGGGGACCCACAAAAAAGGCATCTGCAAAAGATTTCAGATCCGGGCGGGAACAAGCAACGAGGTTTTGATCTTCCTGGGTTCGGCAGAGAGCTGCAGCGGATTCATCTGCCCCAGAGAGCCATATACATCCCTCCTAAGCCCTTTTAAAGGGTTTAGGGTTTAGGGGTTTCGGGTTTATGGTTTTGGTAATTAGTTGGTGTTTCTTGACCTTGTGGGGTTCCGGAAGCAGTCGTTAAAGTGAGCAAGTCTAGCCGGGAACCCAGCCCCGAACCAACAATTAAGCAAAGAGCAATGTGTATGTATGTATGTATGTATGTATGTATGTATGTACGTACAGGGATGTCTAAGGGACACATGTCCATATCTATATATATATATAATATGTAGATAGATGGATAGACAGCTGGATAGATATATGGATGGATAGAAATGTATAGAAATACATACTGAGCTGGGGCTTTCTTTCAGGGGATAGATTCCGGGATTAGGTACTGAGTTTCCATGCATGCAGAACGGAGCGTACAGTTGTTGCAAAATCCCGCAACTTCCTGTAATTACTGGGCTCTCAAAACATGACGTGAGCTGTAGTCCAAACTCCCAGCATCCCAGTATCCCCTTAACAGCCCCTATAGCAATCCCCTATATTACCCGCCTTCATGGAGTCTAAGACCATAGCTCATCTGAATAGCTACTTGTGATTAAGACCTGTCTGCGCTTTTTTTGGGCCTCTGATTGATAGTGTCCGTAAGTAACCCCCTCCCCCTAATAACAATCCCCCGCCCCACCCCCTAATAATGAACCCCCCAATAGAATGCCATTATGTACGAGTATCCGGGGGGTATGGGATTTTCATTATTAGCGGGAGGGAAAATGGAAAGCCGCCAGCGATACAAGGCCCTGGCTTGCCGATCACAGCTTCAGCAAGCTCTTGCGTGGTGTCCAAGTCCGGCATCAGGGCTTGCACCTGCTAACAGGAGTATCAATATTCAAAAATTGAAGCCATTGTAGTAGAAAGAATATTAGGAATTAGTACGAACACTGTGCATTTGGCAACGCCATGAGCAGTATCCTCATCAATGCTGCTAGCAGGGTTTCGGCGGTTGAGGCTTGAGAGGAGAGGTTTAAGCCAGTCTCGAACTGGTGGAGGTAATGGCTGGTTGAGCGTCGCAGTATGCAGTACTTTCAGAGGCTTTCACCTACGAGCGCGGCTGTTGATGGTAGGAGGGAAGTAAACATTTGCACAGTACCCAAAAGGAAGAAAGACACGAAGGCTGTCCTTAGCTTGAATCTGTTATTGAGGAGGGCTGAGATCTGTGTAAAACGTCTAAGGTTCAGGGTTAAGGGAAAACACTGTCCTACCTGCAAAGCGGGGTTAGCCCCAGAACGCTGCAGAGGTGGTGCCTGATGCTATGGGCCGCTCAAGCTGAACGGCTGCACATGGGCAGACCAATGCACTCCTTCATACTTGACATGCAAAGCAAGGGTTTTGATGGGCATCTTTATCAGCCTCTCTTTGCCCTAAGGCACACGCCAAGGGGAACCCACACCCTTCACTATCCCCCAGACTTTAACCCTGCAGCCGTAAGCGTTTTTCAAACAGAGGGATCCCCGTTGAACTTTATCCACCCTCCACAATACTATAACTCAAGACAGAAGGGACTCCTCAACAGGGAGTCTACCTTTGGAAGCCTCTACATAGAGAGACTGTAATGCTTGAAGATCTTCGGCCTTGTCCCTCTGCCAATACGGCGCCGTGCCGTTCGCCTCCCAGTGTATGTCACAGGAAATATTGGGGTCCCTTTTGTGGATTCTGCATAGTTTTGCAAAACTCCAATCCTGCACTATAACCCCTATGTATTCCCCTAGTTCCCATTGTATTTTCCTTTTTTTCGTATTTGATTCCCCATTATTGTAAGTGTCTCCCGCTTGAGGGAAGTTCGGGGCTCGGGCTTGCCAAGACGCTTATCAAACCCGCTGCCTCTTTGAATTCTAGTCGGGGACCCTTAGTCCAAGAGCCTTCAGTCGAAAGAAAAACCCCACCCTGAAGCATGCAAGGCCTCTTCAGTACAGCAATTGCAACAGGAAATCGANNAAAAAAAAAAAAAAAAAAAAATGCAGGGAAGGGAACATCCGGGATGCAAATTGCACGCGAAGACTAGGACGAAAAAGCTGAACACTGAGGAAATGGTGTTGCGGCATAAGTTTCATGTCCTTTGCTCTACGTTGGGATACTACTACAAAATCCAATTCCGCTGAGCTTTGATGTAGCATTTTTGCCAGCATAAACCGTCGGGGAACGCAAAGCATGACCCCACGGGGCTTAGGGTTTAGGGGTTCAGGGATCTGTTTATTGTAGGAATGGGAGAATGGGTTCGTCTATAGCCCTTATACAATCTTGAATAAAATGGTAGTCTCCCTTTCCTTTTCCATTCCTTCCCTACTGACCACCTACATGCTACTAAGCCTGAAGCCCAAGCCCTACACCGTAACGTCTATAGTAGCATCCATGCTCTTGTCCATTCCCTAAACCCCAGACCTTATATACATATATGCTTATAGTAGCCCGTATATAACCCCGAATTCCATTGTGGTTCTATTTCCTCTTATTCCATTCAAACAACCAGCAAGATGACTGGAAAACATCCTGCCTCTCCTTTGCCGAGGCTAGCCCTGCAGTGCAGGCAAGAATCCCAGCAGCTGCTCAAGACAGGGGTACCCACGAGGACGCCAGAGATATATGGTAGGGTTTCCCAAAATTAGGGGCACGATTTTGGAGGTCCCCACAAAAAAAAACATTAAAACAAAAAAACAAAAAACATGATTATAATATTGTTGGGGTGGTTATATTGGGGTCCCCCTATTTTGGGAAACTACCATATGAGGATGGTGACGCTTGGGTAGCCGAAAGGTCAATTGACTGATGATTATGTTGTCGTGTCTCCGCGAGCTGTGTGAGGTTGCGATTCTCGAAAGCTTTGGGTTGATGGCCCCTGTGCCGCGCATTTCTGAAACTGCGGAAGAATTGCGTGTGCTCCAAGAGCACCAACATACATGGTGATCCTTAACAAAAGGCGGCCGTGAACACACCCATAACTAGGATGTTCTGACGTGACAACCTCTCAAATAGACCTTTCCGTTTCGCAAAGTCTCACATTATCGCCAGTGATCTGTCCGAACGCTGAGATCGCTACATCTAAGCCAGTGGGTCATGGGCCATGGGTGTACCCTCATCCGCTTGGAATTCTGAGAAGGCGCCGCAACGGTCTCTCCATGATACAAAACAAGGGGTTCCAGCAAGGAGCACTAGCTCCAAAGGAAGGACAACAGTTGCTGGTTGCTAATTATCATGGAAAGCAAGACGGTTTTTTAAGCAGCCGAGCAGGCAAGACCCACGTTGCTGAGCTGAACTTGTGACGGAGCTCCAGCCCTGCGATACGTTCTAGATATAGGCATCAAGTCTTGTCAGGTTGGTATAGCTTCAAGTGGGAAACCGTTGAGGGCTCTGTACCTTAGGACCACAAGCAATGATCGCGGCATGAAAACTGTGCCTTCAGGCACGGCGCGCATTTCAGACTTGCTAGGGACCCCAGCCAGTAGTTCAGGAATAGCCAAACGGAAGTGCCGTCAAAGAGCATGTGGGACCGGCACCTTAGGAGCAAGTCGCAGGGTCTGGCTTTGTGTAAAAGAACGGCGAAATGCACGGATTTATTCAGCGTATGATACATTCAAATTCACCGAACCTGCAGTTGGAAGGAAGCAGCTCTTCACAAAGATTGTAACAGGCTAATTACGCGGTCGGTTCCTTGCAGCCTAAAACGACAATACATTGTCAATACATGCCTTCGATTGGGAAGTGGGAGGAGTGTGGATTGAAGATACACATTCCAAGCGCGCCTAGGTTTGAGGGTCCGGGCCTGTGGGCGGGGCAGGGGCAAGGGTGGAAAAGTTGCTCTTTGGGGTTGTCCTTTGGGTGACGGAGTTCGGGCTGGGTCCGTAGCCCAATGCAAACCCCGCATAGAATAAACAAGTGCAACTGGACTGGGATCTTGCCATTCGCCCCGTCAGACGCTTGCTACGTCCTTGACTGCATTATACTGCAGCACTTAAGGGAGCGGAGCAGGAGCAAACACCAATAGCTGATAAAAACCCATACTTCAGACTCCAATCCCTGATCCCTTTGCCTGAGATGGCCACATGCACAGAACCGCGCTGCCATCCTTGTAGGTGGTCAGCTTGATGGACATCCTTGCGGGACTCTGCTGACTTTGCAGGGTTTCATGCGCTATCTGCGGATTAGAGCAGCTGCGAAAGTTCAGAGCATTGTCATTTTCAAGTATGCAGAGCGCATTGAGTCTCAAAGTGTTCAGGCTGAGGATTGGCAAAAACTCCTCTTTGGTAGTGCCCTTGGTTACATTGGGAGCATGGAAAATCAAATGGAAACTACTATCATGGGTTATATAAGGGTTTAGGGTTTAGGGGACAGAATCTTCTCCGTTTGGGGAAAAAAGTCCATGACTGATGTTTGTGTTTCGAACATGCGAAGCCCAGCGTTGGATAGTGCCATTGACTACTATCAATTAGGATCTAGAGGTCCCTGTGACACCCGACGCTCAGGCCATACTAGCTGAACAACGCAATCATTGATACAAAATCCCGCATCATGACCTCTCGTGGGTTTTAGGAACAGCTGACTGCGCATCTGAGTTCATAGTTTCCCACAACTACGCCGCTCATGTCAGATTCTATCCTTCAAGACTGTCCGGCGAAAAAACTCTTGCCCCAAGGCTCCAGGGATTCATGTTGAAAGGAATTCGGGCCCAAATCCTACACAATATGGGTCAGCTCTTTAAGTAATTTCGAGCCTCAGGGTTACAGTCCGCTCAAACATGGCCCGCATCCTAACCTTCAACTTGTTTTCCTCATGTATTGCAGAATATGTGGGACTTTCAACAATCAGAGGTCCCCCTCATATAAACTTCAAGCACGAGAATCCCTATTATGATAGGGACTCCCAAAAGGGACCCTTCATATTTGGAAACCACCATATTGGGGCTACTATAGAGAGTATCGAACATGTTGGAGCTGGATGCGCAGTATGACCGAGGTCTATGCAATGGAGCGCGGCCATGACGAACAGCAGCTGACATAGGAATTGCAGCTTTTGCGTCCGGGTTTAGGGGTTGAGGGTTTGGGGGTGTAAGCCCCAAAACCTAAACCCGCTTGGAGTGAAGGATTAAGCCTCTTCCCAGAATTGGTAATTATTTTTCTAATTATCATTCCGCTGTGAAGGTTCGTTCGAAGAAGGCCGCGGCTGGAGATGTTGATGTCCAGATGATCACATTCCAAGGTCATAATGCCGGTTGTCAAAATCATAGTCCCTTTGAAAATGACCATGATAGCAATGCGGCCCCAAGTCTTTAGGGTACCCAGACCGAGACCACAATTTCGAGTTTTTGACAACTCCACAAAGGTAGGATTCGGTAGGATCCTGAACATATGGGCGAAATGACTCGGACAGGAAGGCAGGCCGATGCTGCGTTATTACTCATTATATGGTCTTCCTGCTACCGTTTTCATTGCCATGACCATGACTGATGCCATTGCTATAGGCAGTCAGTTGGGCATGCGCTTGAAGTCTTTCAGCGGTTGGATCAAAACAAGTAGCCAGAACCGCCGACGACTTGGCTTGCACATGTTACCAGCTGGTCTGGAACCCTTTTTTAAAAGACCGTAGTCGTTGCCAGGACCTGTTTGGAAGTCCACGTTACTTTGGCGGGGAAATTCAATCGGTGATTCGGGAAACAACTATCTTTAGCGCAGGGAGAGAGGTATGCGCACACGGTCTGCAATGGAAGAGGTGCGCGGCGTTGAATGCTCAGGGGGCATGGCCACGCTCTTCGGATAACTGGCCTTGTTAAGCGCTTGGCGAAACAACATTGTATAAATTTACGGGCCAGTGGGGTTCTTTGTTGCTTTCAGCCGAGGGTATCTCCCTTTCATGAGGGTACCTCCCTTTTCTCATGGCAGAGCATAGAAGCTGCCCATAGAGCAGCATGGACGAAGTTGACCTTGGGCCTTTGCAAGCTACATGGAAGCCATGCAAAGCCGCGTAATTGAAGCTGACGGTACCGGCATCCAACAGTAATTACAGGCATCTTACACCCTGGAGAACATTCATGACCACTGTTGCAGGATTTCAGGAATACCCGGCCTGCAATGATCTCTCAAGCGTCATAGACATTCCTTTGCTGCTCCTTGTACGCCCTGCTACTCAAGCTTGATCCCGAAACGCCGGGGTCAGGGATGTTTCTTCAAAAGCCTCCCTTGATTATCGTGTAATCCTTTCGAGGGACCGCATAATATGCTCTCATACTCACCGTGCTCGTGCCTGAAGTACTACATGTACCCTTTTTAAAGGGACACTCCTAGATCAGCAAGAGGATGGCCTGGTCGGTAAAAGTCCGCGAAAGTTAGAAGCGACCGCTCCTCTCAGAAAGCTGGAGTGAACTGGTGCAGCTTTATGAAGTTTCTGGCCCAACTTGGGGGAGGGATACACAAGTAACATAAGACCCGTCTTCTGCCTTTGATGAGGGCTGACATGCCAAGTTTCAAGCATGGCCCATGACTGGAGGCTCAAAGGACCACGTGAGTCTGCAGAAAACTGGAAGCATGATAGTAGTATGTGTGCAATCCCCGAAGTTGTGAAGGATCAACTGCCATCTGTTGCTCAAGACAGTCCCGCATGTCTCATATTGCTTTTGGACGGTCTGCCAAAGTGCGGCGTGGAATTTTTGATAATTTTTCAAGATGTCACGTTCCGGCACTGACGCAGAGCAACGAGCATTACTGCCAACACAGATTGCAAGTTCAATATGCGTCTCTGCCCAATCTACAGTGAAAGACAACAGTGGGGAAAGGTAAAGCAAACATGTTTGGTTCCGCGTCAGCTCGGAAATTGTAACTAATGTCACGAGTCGCAGATGTAAATGTACCTATAGTATTCGGCTAGAAGCATTTCGTGCGACAGGGCTGGGGATTGAACCGGATGGCAGCGGCTGCACAACGACCAGGCATGGCGCCACAAACAAACTTCGCCGAACAACAAATAAAGCTTGTGAAGTTTGCCCGACCACGTTTATTTAGGCAATGGTTGGGAGGGGATGCCGTGGAATTTGCCTGTGAAGTTTTGCAAGTAGGCGAACTGTCTTCCAAAATTTCGCAGCAAAATTGGGCCGCGTCTTTTCGCCAGGGTCTAAACTCAAACAGTGAGCACCAGCGGACAACTCGCTGCTCAAAGCATCCAACCCAGCCGCAAAAAGCCCACAAATCCTGCGCCCTTCAGGTGCAACAGCTCCAAGCGCTCCTCGATGATCTCTGGAGCACTCGGCTCTGAGGATGCGGCCACCTGAACCCCAAAAAAAATCAAAGGTTGTCTGGCAAAAGGCCCAGGAGTGTATGTACATGACCACGTTTTCGGTGACCATTCTTACGACCATCGTTGCCGGTGCAAGTGCAATGTCCTACTCAGGATTTCCCACCCGCCCCCACAGTCGGTTGGATCTCGAGTTTCCTACCGGGCGCCTTGAAGGGCACGCCTGCGCCGTTGAGCACTAGCTTCGCGCCTTGCCCGAAAAGCTTGTGAATTCCAGGATTGAGTATACCACAAGTCAATTCTACTGGACTACAGGCCATTTCTGCCCCAACATGATGGTGACGCTAGGCTCGACTTGAGAAGAGGCAAGGGTGCATACGCAGGGACCTCGTTCTGGGTGGAGTGAATGGCGTGCATACTTCCAATTTTTTGGGTATTTGCCAGCAGGCATACTTTCTGCCCGTCTTTTTCTTATGTACCTACTTAGCTTTTAAAGGGCGAAGAATTTATCAACTCTGGCCTTTGTGCCTGTAGATGTCTCCGCTATACTTGTAAGGCATTGGTCTGGCGTAGTTCTGAAGCTCTTTTAACATATAGGGTATATATTGGAGTTACATTAGGGTTATATTGGGGTATATATTGGGGTAGATTGGGGTTATATATTGGGGTATACAGTTCCTCTCAAATGGTTGAGCCATGGATGGAACCGTCGGCTGAGCCATGCTACCAGCATCACCCGGAAACGAAAGGATTTCTGTTGGGCCTCTTAGCCCTGATAGTCGCTGCCAGTCCGCTTTTGATATGAGGACTAGGGGCTAGATGCAGCTGGAAGCGCTGCCGTCACCAGTCACTACAGAAGTGCACATCCTGAAAACACTTCCTCCGTGATATGTAACCCTTGCGACAAAACACAAATGGTGCTTTGCAGGCACGTAACGATTGTGGACTTCTTGTTGCATGTAGGTCTTAAACTGTTGTTAGGTGCTATCTATGTAAGCCCGATCTCATCTTTCAGAAGAAGTTTTGCGGACACTGATCCGCACAAAGCCTCAATGAATCAGAAGGCACTTCTCACAAGTGATCTGGGTGCCCACGCCATTGTCGCCTGAGCTGTCACGGCAGGCTGAGATCTGGTAAATAACTAGACAGGCTCTTGATACAAAAATCATGCATGACCTTGCTTTCCTTACATCTAATGCTATAGTTCCCAAGAAATAGAGTACAAAAGGTCATGCATTTTTCAACTCCCCCCGTATGTACAACTGTAAGATGTTGTAAGAACTACAGAACCCAACTCCAATACAGCCTGCGCATTTTCCTTCGGCATTTCATGGATGAGCTTGCCGCTGAAACGTGAAACTATTGCATGAACTCGGAAACTTTCAGGAAAGGACTTCTTCACGTGACAGAAGCAGCAGCAAAACGGGAAAGGTCGATAGTCAGAACAAGGGCAAGCAGACGAGTAGTTATATCGTTATTCAGATTAGTAACAGCAATATGAGACCCATGTAGCCCTAAACCCAAGTGTGACAAACAAGCCGCTTTGCAGCCTCATCGCTCAACCTAGTTTGACAACTCAGCCTGTTCGCCATTTGCTTGCCAAAGCACGGAAGCGACCAGCTGCGGTCGGCACTGCCTCCGCACAGGCATGTGGCGGCTTGTGACTGGGTTGCTGTCAAAGATGTTCTTCAATTTACTCACCGGCTACAGCTGATTCTAGTCCGTGATTGAGGATCATATACGGGTGCAGGAAACGCTTGACAACAGAGTCCAGGAGGATTTGCCTGGGGCGTTGTCTAATGTTCAATCACTCCTGCTCAGGCTTTGAGTCACATGAAAGTTCAAGTTGTTCACCCCAAACTGGTTCGGCCGTAAATGATCATTGCTCAACAAGGCTCATGGTGTTTGCAGCTACCAGGATCAACTCGAAAATTACACTCTCGACTCCAGAGCTCTCAACTCCGACAACAGCTTACTGTTTCTAAGTAGGGAAAGAGGAAATATACTCCGTCTATGACCCCTATAGAATATCTATATATCTATATATATATATATATGCTACCCCCCCCCTCAAAACCTAC